GTACCTCCATGGGGGATCGGCCCATAACTGCCCTATTCTAACAGTGCCAACACACTGGACAGTTCTTGACGAGCTACCTTTACAGTTAAATCACCAGGAGTTGACTCTACAAATACTCCTGCTCAGGAGAGTTACCCTGCTCTCCCCTGGTGCAGCTCCCAGACACTCAGCTTTAGACAGTAGTGAGACATATGTCAGTTGTCACTCGCTCTCAACCAATCATCTATTGTTTCTAGTCAGTTATTTACTCAACATTTACTGAGCACTCACTATGCACCAGGATGTAAAAAGGAAGAAGGACGTCAAACTACTGGGGAAGACAGATGACCTATCACAAAATTACAACGAGGAATGGTAAATGCTCTATGTTTACTAAGGGAAAACACTGATTTTGTCATTTATTCAGTCATTCACTGATGCCCTCTATGACTACTTATACAGGGGTCCTCAAACTACGGCCTGCAGGCCACATGCAAATACAAATTTTGTATTTGTTCCTGTTTTGTTTTTTTACTTCAAAATAAGATATGTGCAGTGTGCATAGGAATTTGTTCATAGTTTTTTTTTAAACTATAGTTCGGCCCTCCAACGGTCTGAGGGACAGTGAACTGGCCCCTTGTTTAAAAAGTTTGAGGACCCCTGATTATTGAGTGCCTATGATGTGCTAGGCAACAGGTCTGCTCTACCACGTGCAAGCCAGGGCAAGAGTAGACCTAGAGGCCTCCAGCCTGCCTCTGCCCCGCCCCCTCCTTCTTCCCATCCCTAACCCCATCTGGTACTGCAGGGGGCCTCTCCTGTACCTGTTCGAGCACCCTATTCCGTGTTTACCAATTTTTAACCACCTTCCCCTAGAACCACTTAAGACCAGGAAGAGACTTCTGTCTTAGAAGCAAGCCCAGGTTCCCAAGCTTGCGTGGGAGTGCTGGGGTCCTGAGGCCCAGAGACTGGTATGGAAAGGGAGGAAATGGGCTTTGGGTGGGCCTGTCCCTTTGGCTCAATTCATTCCTTCCCCTGTGGTTGGAGGCAAGGGCTGAGGAGACCCAGAGGGGCTCAGAGGATGGTCCTCAGACCAGCATCCTCCCCATCAGCTGGGAGCTTGCCTGGATATGTAGAGTCTCAGGCCCCTCTGCAGGCTCTGGAGATCAAATTCTGCATTTTAACAAGGCCTCCAGGTGACTCCTATGCACGTTTGGTTTGAGAAACACTGCTTCAGGAGCCCTGTGTCTAATCCCCTCTCTATAAACCCAGAGTCTGAGGCCAGCTAAGCACAGGTGGGGGAGGGGTCCAGCTTGGGGCTGGGAGCATACTTCTGGGCACCTTGCTATTCTCTAATGGTGAATATATTCCCAAGAAAATTTGAGAAAAAAATTTCTTTCCAGTCACTCAGATTGACTTGCTCCTAGAATAAGAGATTTATAATGAGTGGTCCAAGAAAGAGAATTCCAAAGTCATGGGCAAAGCATTAAAGGAAGGTTGGTGATAACTCATCACTATAGGAAAGAAGTTGAGGGAGCATTGAAAAACTTCTTGTTTTCTATTTTATTTCTGGAGCCAGTGCAAACCAGCTGGAGGAGCGTCCATAGCCAAGATTAATTGTCATTTTTAATTTTTCACTTCTGTATTCCTTTGGCCTTTTCTCCTCCTTTTATGAGTACATTTTAGTTCCCACCCCTTTTGATGCACCCATTTTGCCGTTTTTCTTCACTTCTCTGTTTTTTTTTTTGTTTTGTTTTGTTTTTCACTTCTCTGTTTTTGCTTTTCTTAATCTTGCACTTTGCTCCAAAGAAAATCAAACAAAGAGAAGCGAACAGGACAAGGTTTAAAAACATGGTCTGGTGCTAGTTTCATGTGGTTGCAAATTTCTATCAATTAAAAACAAAACATTTTTAACAAGTAATTTTTATTCATACATAAAATATAGAATTGCATTTTGATTTTTATAAGTACCTTAGAACCAGCTACAATTATTACCTTATTGCCAATTGTGGTTCAGTTTTGCCTCTTCCATCTTCACATCTCCATCCTCCCTCCCTCCCTCCCTCCTTCCCTCCCTCCCTCCTTCCTTTTCTTTCTCTCCCTCTCTCCCTCCTTCCCTTCCTTTCTCTCCCTCCCTTCCTTCCTTCCTCCTCCTCCTCCTCCTCCTCCTCCTTCTTCTTTCTCTCTCTCTCTCTCTCTCTCTCTCTCTCTCTCTCTCTCTCTCCCTCCCTCCCTCCCTCCCTCCCTCCCTCCCTCCTTCCTCTCTCATTTAATAAAGCAAATCCTAGACATATCATCGAACTCATTTCTTATACAATTTCCTGGAGGTAGTGCCACAAGAGAATGTAGGCTGAGGAAGTGATCTTTTATATTTTCTTCATCAGAATATGGAATTTGTATTACTGAGATAAGGAGAAATATAGAATTTCTAAAACTGCTACATAATACCTCAGATGGTGTAGATCTTATTTTCCATCTCCACACTCTCCCCCTAGAGTCTTTGAGGGAGGTCTATGAGAACTTTTTTATATTCTTTTACTATTAAAGTAGTAACAGAATAATAGAAACTTTGGGTGTTCATAAACTTAAGAGGAAGTGTATGTTCTCGTACTGTGCCCAAAGAGCTTTCAGAGAACATCCTTTTTGCAGTTAAAATTCGTTCATGTTGCCCAGCTGGCATGGCTCAGTGGTTGAATGTTGACCTATGAACCAGGAGGTCACTGTTCAATTTCCGGTTAGGGCACATGCCTGGGTTGCAGGCTCTGTCCCCAGTGTGGGGTGTGTGGGAGGTAGCCTATCAGTGATTCTCTCTCATCATTGATGTTTCTATCTCTCTCTCTCTCTCTCCCTTCCTCTCTGAGATCAATTTAAAAAAAAATGTTTAAAATTTGTCCATGCAAAATTTGAGGAGATATTCTGTGTCAAGGAACCAAACACATTTCCCCACGTAGCCCTGAACAGATGGCCATAATGGTTTAACGGCACTTTGGACCAGGATCAAGATACGAAAGCATGGCGCACATCAGGTCTATGGAGTATCAAATAATTTGAAGGTTTGGGTATTTTCCATTAGTAAATATCCAGCGAAATTTGAGTGAAATACCCTCGAAATCAGTCAAATAGACAGAGGCTTTGAATGAGGGAATTAATTATGCTGGTGTGCTAAGGAAAAGAACCCCACTGTGGTATGGAGAATGTAATTAATGGGAGGTGAGTGCCAACAAATCACTCCTTAAAAATATTAATGCTATCACAGGACAGCCGGATAATGAGAGAAACGTGACCCTTGGGGGACTGGCAAGGGTTGCCGTAGCTACTCCAGAACTTTATGCAGTTGTGACGTAATGGAATTCCTCTCAATTTAACAAAAATAATATTAAGAGGTGTGGTTCTGGGCAAGTTATTAGCCGTAAACACGTCTTCGTCGTTTTATCATCTTATTATAATCACTATGTCGCACTTTTGCTGTGGTTCTAAATGACTTTCCCTCTTAATTGCTCAGGATATATATAACCCAAACACCACTCCTAAAAAGCAACTTTTAAAAAGCCCCGTGGCGTGAAAATAAAAACACAGTCTCTAAGTAATTTCTGCACAACAATGTCCATATGCTTGATGTTTAAGTCAAGAAAAAACTGTCCCATTGTTTGTGGATGAAAGCCTGGGTTTAATTTGGTTTTACTTTATAGCTTATTATTACTGTCCCAAGAAAAATCTAAGCGAGCAATAAAGTTAAATACGGATTTACATGGTCCTACTGAATATCTGAAATGTTGGGCGTTATTTTGACATTCGCATAACTCAGTGAGAATCCTGATATTTAACATCAGAAATCAGAAGCAGTTCTTGACGTGGGGTATACTTTAACTTAGATTTTAAAAAAGAAACCGTTCCCTTCAGGGTGTATATATTTACGCTCCTCTGAGCCGTCTGGGATCTTCGGAAGCCGCAGGCGTGGTCTATGCTTTTTATGACCGCACGTTGTCATTTCTGGTCGCGGCCAGTTTTGTCTCTTTTGGTTCACCCGACTCACCAACATCTAAACCGGGGACAGGGGCATTCAGCGCGTTTGACAAATCGGTGGAGGTACGCGGGCCGCATTCACACATACCAGTGCAGGACGAGAGGAAGTTCGGGATGCAGAAGAAATAAATTCTTGAGCGTAGCCGGGGCTTCACATAACACCAGTTTCATAAGGCACTTAAGCCGCTCAAGGAGCAGTGCCCCCGAAAACAGCACACAGGGGACACATCCTTTAAATAAATGTGTTTCTTTGCCCCAACAGAAGTTCAGATCTGCTCCATTATCATTCATTTTGTTCTTTGATTTCCTTCGCGGGCAAGTCGTGCTCTTTGAGGTTTTGCAAGTTGCCCTGGCGGGTGAGTGGAGTGACCCTCGATTCTTCACTCAGCGGCGCGCCGGTTAGGGGGGTGGGGGAGGGAGTGCAAGCGTGTGTGTGTGTGTGTGTGTGTGTGTGTGTGTGTGTGTAAATGTGCCGGCTCGCTGCGGGGGGAAAAGTGGGAACTTAGTAGCAATCTCAGTGCACATATTGGCAGCCCCTAAAAATCACGCTGTCCGTCCAGAACCCTTAGAACAGGTGTCCTAGGAATGAGTGCGGACGCGCGCCACAGGCGACAGAAGAACCGACAAACCTCAGCGCTGCGGTGATGTTGATTAGATGCATAAAAAGCATCAACCCGCGTCGGCACCCTTTCACCAACGCGCGTGGATAGGCACGGACACCCGGTGGCCCTCTCCCCTCTCCATTCTGCGGAACGTTCTGAGCTGAGCAAGAGTTGGGGGGCGTGTGGGGAGGATCTGGACTCCTCAGGTTTAGAGCCGAGACGTGGGGGAGCGCGGTGGGCGGGGGAGGGGGGCCGGGGAAGGCGGAGGGCCGGGTCCACGTCGCGCCCTCGGCGATTAGCCCCAGCGGCGCGACCCGGGAGGCGGACTCTTTCTTCACCCTCGCCGTCTCCCCCTCCCTCTTCCCTTTTAAAGGACGCCTGGCAGGCAGAGCTGTCAGCAACAGGAGGCCGTTCGGACTTGGCCGGGCGCGGCTGACTCCTGCTCCCGGGACAGACCGGGGCGGGTGCCGCGGGGCCGCGTGTCCCGGGAGCCACACGTGGGGCGCTCCCATTCTCCCTCCTTTGGGCTCCGCTCCGGACCTGCCGAGTCCGAGCGCCGCGCGGCCCTGGCGTGGCCCGCCCCGGGCGCGATGGCCCCGTGAGCCGCGGAGAGGGAGGCGGCCAGGGCTCGACGCGCCCCCCGCGGCGGGAGCAGCCGGAGCGGTATGAGCCGCGCCCAGGGCGGCGGCAGCGGCCCCCGCAGCCTCCTCTGCCGGCGCCTCCCGCGGGCCCCGGTCCACTTGCCCCCGCGCACCATGCCGAGCCCCGGCCGGCGGATGCCCCAGCGCAGCCCCGGGCGCCTCCCCGGCCCCCGCTAACGCACCCGGGAGCGGCCGCGGCCCCCGAGGCAGCCTCCCGCGCCGCGCCCCGGGGGAGGCGGATCCGCGGGGCGCCCCGAGCCCCCGCTGCGCCCCTCGCTCTCCCGCCGCGTCCCCCTCCCGGCCGCCCCGGGCGCGCGCGGCGATGGGGGCGCTGCTGGCCGTCTGCCTGCTCCTGGGCTGGCTGCGCGGGGGCCCCGCGGGCGCCCAGCCGCCCGGCGAGTATTGCCACGGCTGGGTGGACGCGCAGGGCAACGACCACGACGGCTTCCAGTGCCCGGAGGACTTCGACACGCGGGACGCCACCATCTGCTGCGGCTCCTGCGCGCTGCGCTACTGCTGCGCCGCGGCCGACGCCCGGCTGGAGCAGGGCGGCTGCACCAACGACCGCGGGGAGCTGGAGCCCCCGGGCCTCCCGGCGCGTGAGTGCGGGGCCCCCGGCGGCTGCTGCAGGGGGGGGCGGGGAGGTGTGCACACGGGGAGGCGCCCAGGTGCCCCTGGGTCTGTGCAAAGTGGACGCAGCGAGGGAGGTGGAGAGACCCCGACGGAGGGGGTGGCCGCGGCTCAGGTCAGGGCGTCCCATCGCTTGGCAGCCCCGACTCCCGCTCCTCGCGGTCCCCGCGGGTTGGGCCGAGGGGGAGTTTGCCGGGACCGCGAGGACCGCGACGCTGGCCCCGGTGACTCTGGGGAAGCCGGCGGGGGCCCCCGGGCCCGCGGGAGGCTGCAGAGAAGGGCTGTAGGGGCAGCCACTAGGCTGGCCTTGGGTTTTGGGGGCCCCGTCACTCCGGAAGGTGCCGAGGGCGCAGAGAATGCAACTCTCGGGGAGCGCTCCTCTGCAGCCCCGCAGCGCTAAGGAACTTCAGCCACTTCTCCCCGCCTTTGTGGTCTTTTGGTAGCGTTTCTAAACCGCTCGTCCATTTTCCGACTTCCTTTCATTTCTCTGCATCGAATTACCCTCTGCAGCCCACCCCCTATTGTCACGCCTTTCAGAGAGGCCGGGGTCCTCGCGGCGGAGATTTAGAAACCAGGGTCGCCGGGGCTTCCCCGCCCCCTATTCTCACGTCGGAAAACACGGGTCAAATTTCCGCTCACTTCAGAGCGGAATAAATCACAACCCCAGCAGAGCAACTTTACACGCTAACAGAAAAAAAAAAAAAAAAAAAAGACCTTCCCACCTGAGTCCGAACATCAGGGAAACCCTTTAGAGCTCCGGGCGATGGTTTTACGGCCCGGAAACCGGAGGAGCGGGCGGAGCTGAGCGCCCCGCACCCCAGACTCGGGCGCGGGCGGAGGTCCGAAGCCTGGGAGAGACGGTCCGGCCAGACGAGGAGAGGTGGAGAGAGAATGAATGAATGAATGAATGAATGAGGCTGGCGCTCTCCCTCCTGCCCCCGCCAGGAGAGGGGTGCTTTACCCAGAGGAAAGGGGAGCCCGCTCTTGCCTAGAATTTCATTGGACTTTCAAGAAATCTAGCTTTGGAGGTCGGGCTGCCCAGCCTAGAGGAATTGGGAAGCGGCTACTGGAGAAAAGATCACCAGCGGAAAGTCGGGCACTCCAGGCAGCCGGTTAGAAAGATACCCTCTTCTCACCTGGGGGCACCCGGTTGCTGTCCGTAGATACAGAGTGACCATCAACGACCCGCCTACTGCGGGGGACCCACGGGCTCTGCTCAGAGGGAGCGCAGCCCCCGCACTCACTGAGCTGGGGTCTGGCAGGTTCTCACCGGCTGTGGCTTTGTGCTTTGCCAGCGGTGTCACCTTGGGCCAGTTACGGAACTGCTCTGGGCCTCCTCTCACTCCTAAAACGGGCATGTCACTCTCAGAGGTAGGCCGTGGATGGCACGCGAGTGCAGGGACGCTGAGCAGTGCTCATTCCATTCCCCCGCCCCCTCCCACCGCCTTCCACAGGTGTTACCAAACCCGGCCTAATGGGTGGTCCATTGAGGAGCTTACACCTAGGAGCCCACAGAACTTGGGGGTTGATAGTTCCCCGTCACCCACTGCCTCAGAGAATGTAGAAAACTGTCTGGTATCTTTCCATACCTGGAAAATAGAGCATAGCATGCCCACCTCCATGAGACCTGAATCAGATGACAAATAAAAGAGAGCCACGCACAGGTAGGGCCTTGGGCAATGCAGGTTTTCTTTCTTCTGTCTCCAAACTGGAGGCGGCCTGCACGTGTGGCTCTATCAGTCAGGGGCTGCCGCTGGGGTGGGACATTTCCTGCCTGCCTTGTAGAGAGACAAGGAAGTTGGGGTTTGCTCTGCCAGAAGGATGCTCTCACACACAGTCTGGGCCACCAACGCCAGGATGTGCATCATGATCTACCTAAAGATCAGCCTCACCTTGGCAGGGTTTGCGTGGGAATTGAGAGGCAGACGTGTGGCTGCTGAAGTAGGCATCCCCACTTATTTCTGGAAACATCCAGAGATGACCATTTGTGATGCATTAGGAGACACAGTTAACTGGGGCCCACTGTGGGTTTCTTCACACAGCTCTTTCCATAGTCTGGCAAATTCCGGAGGGTCTCATTTAACAGGCCTAGTTCTCTTCGCCTAGATTGGAGATTCCGGGACGGGAGATGGATTTTCAGCCTCAGCTATGGGTCAAAGCCCTAAGGCCCCACCGTGATAACGCTACTAAAACCCGGATTTAAACCCAGAGTTACAGTAACCAAGAAAAACCCACCGTTTCCTTTCCTCGGTGCGTGAACAGGATCGAGTCTGTTCCTTCTGACTTCCAGATGTGCAATATGATGGCTAATTGCTAACAGAGGCTACAGTATCAGTTTCCTTCCTCTCCGCTAGGAGCAAGAATATTCCCTCATCACAGTTTACACTCTAGAAGTTACCAGTAACAAGCTCTGAGAAGTTGGGCTGACCAGTGGGAGTACTGAGCCGCCCACCTCCCACCCCTGAGCTGCCTGGAGTTTGGGAGACCCCTGTCCCAGCATCTGTCTATGTCCCTTTTTGTTTTTGTTTTTGCCTTTTAGAGCCTGTCTACGTCCCTTTCCTGATTGTCGGCTCCATCTTCATCGCCTTCATCATCCTGGGCTCTTTGGTGGCCATCTATTGCTGCACCTGCTTGAGACCCAAGGAGCCCTCCCAGCAGCCAATCCGCTTCTCCCTCCGCAGCTACCAGACAGAGACCCTGCCCATGATCTTGACCTCCACAAACCTCAGAGCACCTTCCAGGCAGTCCAGCACAGCCACCAGCTCCAGCTCCACGGGCGGCTCCATCCGAAGGTTCTCCTTTGCCAGGGCAGAGCCAGGCTGCTTGGTGCCCTCGCCACCTCCGCCGTACACCACAGGCCACCCAATCCACCTGACCCAGCCGTCCGGTTTCCTGGTGTCACCCCAATACTTTGCGTACCCGCTCCAGCAGGAGCCCCCACTGCCTGGGAAGACCTGTCCAGACTTCAGTTCCAGTTGACAGGCCCCGGCCATACATCCACCACGCGGTACCAGGGCAGGCGGGTGGGATGCTGCTGTCAATGCCACAGATATTTGCGAGGACACTTCCCTGGAACCCAGCGATGCCATGGAGGAGAGTGTGAGGGAAATACGACGCTTTCTAGTCTTCAGGTTCCTGGCTCCAGTCACAGCCTGACTGTGTTAGAGAACTGCTTTCTGGCTTTGAAAACATGGTGACCAGCACATTTCAATTTATGCTACTTTTATTCAAAAGATACAATAGTTCAAACTTTACAGTTGCCAACGGGTTGAAGATGTTTTATTGGACAACTCAGCTGTACTGTTTAGAAAAAGTCTACATGTTCTTTTCTCATTATAAGTTGTTTAGTGAATTATAATACAAATATATGCATAAATAAGCAAAGAGCAATACCTGGTTGTACTAGTAATTATTGAAGGTCCACTTAAAAGAATTTACTACTAAGTAAACTGAGGGGACAGCGAACGACCTATTTATGATTTTGGGAGCGACCTAACCATGAATAATGTTAGCATCATCAGAAACAGTTACTTTTTAAGTTAATAATTAAATTGTGTTTAAACTATAAGAGCTTTTTTCAGAATGCAAGATTTTGATAACCACAGGAGGCGTTTAAAGTTTTCAGTATTTACTCAGCTATTCATGGTAACACAGGACGTATGTGAACGCATTTCCCCCACCCACCTGAGGGAATATTTATTGCAGACTTTTTGTTCAGCAATATTTTCTGTTTAAGTGAAAGTTGGACAGTTGGGTCTTAAAACATTTATATGTAAAATGAGTTATGTACAAATGTAAAGATTTATAATTTAATGGATTTACCACATTGACGGTACTAATTATTTAGTAGTCACACTGTAATTTTTTATGTTAATATTAACTGTGGAGTTCAAAGTCCAGCTACTGGTTATAATCATCTAGTGTTACATATTGCAAACGTCACTGAGTTCCATGTCTGATGACTATGCATTTGGGCATGTATCCTGCTGGGTTAGAATAAATAACATACTTGTTTTCGTGAAATCTATTTGAAATTTTAGAGCAAAGCGCTTCATTTTATCTCTTTAATGATACTCTTTGCTATTCAATAAAAGGAAAATTTTTACTTAACGCTTCACATTTGAAATGCAAAGAAAAAAGATCTCACATTGATTTTGAACTACATTAAAAAGCTATTTCCTGCACTGGGCTCATGAAAGCAGTAAAGGAAGTGAGTTTTTTCTGGAGTATCAGCTGGTGGGCTGCATGCCACCCTCAGATGTGTTGGGCTATTTCTCCTAAGAATCTGGATTTCTGGCTTCTTGTGACCCATAGAAGATGTGTTCTGCCCTCAGCTCAGGCTGGGCCTTTTCGGACAGGACACTTGACATTTGCCAGCCTTCTGCCTGATCCCCCCTACCTGGCCCATCTCCCTCAGTTCTGTTACCTGCCTGGCTCCTGTAGATGTTGGGGAATCCAGGCCTAAATGAATTCATACTATCACAGGCCACCCTTAGCAGCTGTTTTCAAATACAGTTAGAGTAAAATTCGGACCCAAGAGTCTCTTGGGCCTACGTTTCTGAAATAAGTTTAAAGATACTGAGCCTTTGCCCAGTCTAATGGCCAAGGAGCCCTGCCTTCCAGTCTCCTGCTTTCTCCTGTATCTCAAATTAGCCCCCATAATGAAGGAACAAAGGAAAGAAGGAAAGAAGGAAGGGGAAGGGAGAAGAGGAGGGAGGGAGGAACAGAGAAAAGGCTGCGCATAAAAGGATGTGCATTTGAGAACATGCTCTGGAACACATTCTCATGTCATTAGACTGGTTTTATTCATGTTCGTTAAATATGGCTCTTTTTATATTTTTAAGTTAATCGTTACCTGGACTCTTATGAGCCACACACAATTGTTAGTATTTATCTGCACTCACTTATTTTATCCTCCCAAAAAAGTCAACGGGGAGTTACTGTAATTTCTATTTTATATTTGGAAACCGGCACAGAGAAGTGAAGTAACTTTCCCAAGATCCCACAGGTTATTTTTCCATTGATTTTCAGAGCGAGCAGAAGGGAAGGGGAGAGACAGAGAGAGAAACATCTGTGTGAGAGACACACATCGATTAGTTGCCTCCTGCACGGGCCCAACCAGGGCCAGGGATCAATCCTGCAACCAAGGTACATGCCCTTGACCTGAATCAAACCCCAGACCCTTCAGTTCGTTGGCTGACACTCCATTCAGTGAGCCAAACTGGCTAGGGCTGCGTTGAGGTTTTGATGCTTCCATGCATGAAACCCACTGCAGAGCAGAGCACGAGGCCCAGCCCCGCTCTCTAAGGCGGAGGTTGTCAACTCTGCTGGAGCCAGTGAGCTCTCCTTAGAACAATTATTTTGTGACATCCCTTGAACTGTCCTCATGTGAAATTCATAGATACCACTACTCCTATGACACATATAATTGAAAAAATCAATACAATGCCCTAATGGTAAACAGAAAGAAGAAAGGAAAAGTAATTGATTTCAACATATAATGGCTTGAGCAGACTAACCAAGGACTCAGATGCAAACCTCTTACACAAGATAACTGGCATGTAACATTTCCAAATCAGGACAAATGCAGGTTTGGTTTTTTTTTTATATGTTTTTACTGATTTTAGAGAGAGGAAGGGAGAGGGAGAGATAGAAACGTTAATGATGAGAGAGAAGCATTGATCAGCTGCCTCCTGCACACCCCCTATTGGGGATTGAGCCCACAACCCAGGCATGGGCCTTGACAGGGAGTTGAACTGTGACCTCCTTGTCAAGGGTGGATGCTCAATCACTGAGCCCCACCGGCCAGGCCAGACTGATGCAGGTTTGCTAGATTGACAACTCAAACACCACAGTTGTGCTGCTGCTATGTGATTTTTTTCCAAACAAAGCAAAGTTTGATACTCCTTTGATTTGCATAGTTGTTCTATATCTGGAAAATTCAGTGTATATTAAGGTAGTGCAAATATTACCTTATAGGGAAAATGGGATTAGTTTTTTTCCACCAGAAGGAATGATGGGACATTCCAAAGTCATGCCAAGGGACATTAAGTCTTTGATGTGTGGACTGTGCCAGGTATTGCAGGATCTCTCCCATGAATGCCCATAGCACACCTGCCCCAGCCCCAAACATTAAGAAGAAAGATGTACCCAGACAATTTCACAATGTCCTCTAGGGGGCAGAACTGCCACCACATAACCATCTAGGGAGGTTGTCAGGTTTCTCTAGTAGCTGTACTTTTATTTGCCATCCCTTTGGGGAGCAGTTTTTATCTCTTAGGCAGAATAATGCTGAAGAATGCTGAAAGCTCACATCTGCACATTTCCCTTCCTTAGCAGCATGCTCCCATCAGTCAAGTTCACTGGCTATAAATTATTTAAAATGAGGCCAGCATTGTATACCTCACTGAAATATGGCATTCAGCGACACTGAATCAAATCATATCCCCACGTACTTGTTGACACCCAGTACATGTCTTTGCGCTTCTCTCTGGAAGCCAGGTAGCTGATAATATTATTATTCACATCCCAGGGTGAAAAGGCCATACCGTGGCAGATTTGCAGGAATCATTCCATTCAACAAGCACATGTTGGACACACTAATGGATCAGGCACTGTGCTAGAGGATGGGAGTAACAAGGTGAATAACATGCAGTTCTTTAAAAAAAATATATACATCTTTATTGATTTCAGAGATGAAGGGAGATAAACATCAATGATGAGAAAGAATCATTGATTGGCTGCACGTTTTCTTTCCTGCTTTCCAAGAGCTCACAGCCACGTAGGAGAAGATGAACCCATAATCCAACACTTAGAATTGCAACGATAGGGCAAGTGCACACAGAGCATGCTGGCAGCCCAGGCAAAAAGCACCTCACTCATCCTGGAGGTGATAAGGCTGCACTGAGCAGGGAGCGATGAGTGGGAGCGGAGTGAAGAAGACTGGATGGCCAGGGGGAGAAGAGTCTGGAAATGAGGGGAAGAGCATATTCGGCAAAGCACAGAATTCACAGGGAGGCAGAGGAGCACCCACAGTGGGAAAGGACAAGGAGCATCCTGGAAACTAGACAAAGAATTCCAAGAAGAGAGTGGAGAGACAAGCAGGATCAGATAAGAGATCTTGAAAACCATGGTGGTTGGATATTTATCAAATACAAGAGGGAGCCTTGAAGGGTTTTATGAGGGAGATCACTCGATGACATCTTCATTTTGGAAAGATTAGACAGCCACGCTAAAATTGGGTCACTTCAGACACCCAGGAGGTGCTCACCGCAGCCCGCCACACTACCAGAACACGGAGGGAACTGCTCTGATGCTTTGTTACCCTCCCAGAGAATTTGAGTCTACATTCTTTATGACACCTACCTGGAAGGCCTAATTTTCTCAGGAAAATCTATTGGGGCAACAGTGGTTGTGTACTATTGTACATGTCTTAAAGATAGAATGGATTATAAGGGTCAGTAGTGTTTGTGCTACATTATAACCCAGGATGATATAAAACACAGATAGAAATACTACATGACAAATATCTCTTCTTTTACACACGAGAAACATAAAACCAGAAGGTGATTTAGCACGGATTTTAGGGTCATAGTGTCTGGGTTAGTTTTCTGGCTCTTACTTATAAGCTGATTGACTTTGGGCCACTTCATTTCACTGTGTCTGTTTTTTTTTTTTCATTTGTAAAACAGAAATATTAATGGTACCTTACTGTTTAGGACTGTCATGAGAAATAGGAAGTTAGGGTCCCTGCCTCAAATCACTCGCATTCTAGTAGGGAGGGAGCTGTGTCGTTAAGTTAATGATAATTGATAGAAAGCAGATGAAATACCCTAAAATAAAAATGAAAGTGTAAGTACTGTGGGAGGGCAGGTGTAACTGTTGATGGGAGTGCAGGGAACAGAGAACATGGTCCGATGGTTGGACAGAGTTAGTCCATGATAATCCATGGCCTCCTCTGATACCTGGCTCATTTGCCGTTATGGCCTGGGACAGAGCACCTTCCTACCGTGTTGGGTACTAATGGCCTGCGAGTTTATGTTACCATCTGCATACCCTGCCCCCCGCCCCCACAACACACATTTAGTATAGTAGGTTTGCTTTAAAATGGTTATTTCATTCTAAAGCCAGCAGAGTGTAGTTTTCATTGTTCAAATGGAGAGACTGGTCCCTCTTATTTTCCCTGCCTCTCCATTCTTTATTGATGTCATCATTAGCTCCTTCTCATGGTGAAGAATTTCCCAGATTGACCTAAGTCCATAGGAAATTTCCTGCCTAAAATGAGATAACCAAAAAGGCTCCTGAAAATACACACAATCATACTTAGCAATGTGATCCATTTCATTGGGTCAGTTTACCTTTGTATAACCTAAAAAGTTTACTGAGTATGTGTTCAGAAAAAGTAAGAATTTATGGGCATCTTAAACTATCAAGGAACAAATCGTTAACATTTTTTATGTGTACATGACTACTTTAAAATTGCAATTAAATATTCGTTATTAATGAAGTTATTTTGACAGAGAATTCTTATTTGAATCGCTAGTTCCATAGTTTAAACTTGAAATAACAAGTGAGTGTACCACAGCCATAAGAATACAAAAGCTTCTAAACGAGGATGGCATACTGAATTTACAAGAATTCATGACAGGTAGCTTTTCTGTCTGCATATTGTTTTGCTGTGGTTTTGCTTGGGGTAGCCACACCCAACTGTTGTCCCTGAGAAGACTGTGGGAAAGGACTGGGGCCCTCACTCGAATACAACCAGGGGCACCTCAGATTGCTTCCTCAGTGCCTGCGACTAAGCCTGTGCCCTCAGGTAGCTGAGTGCAGCTTGCTACCGGTTAGCCAACCATGCCTATTTTTGATGGAACGATTGTTGTCATTTCTGATGTTTCCTGTACTTTTGTATCACATGGCAATTTCATCGTTTTCTGGTTACTTCCTGCAAATGTAATGGCTAAACCGAACCACTTTCTCATGAACTGAAAAAAACAAAACAAAAAACACTGGTGGGTTCAGAGACCCTGA